CTCAGCCACCCCCTAGACACCAAACCCCTCCCTCACTAAGCTGTCCACCCCCACCTCACCCTCTCACAGAAGGCTACTGACCACTGACTCTTGGTGCCGTGGGCTGTGCTGTGTGAGGCAGAGGTGGGTCAGACTCAGTGGCCCGCTAGAGGGGATCCTGGCTGTGGAGCAGCACCCAGTCACACGGTGGGGAGAGCAGGGTGAGGCGGGGGCAGAGGCCATAAGATGCACAATAGACAAATGAGTGTGTTTCAGCTGCCATCTTTGCAAAAAGCCAGTAAAACCTGGACGGGGATTGGGAGTGTATAGAGCGTAGGTGCTGACAGCTCGGGCCAACTCGCACCTCTGCACACACTGCACAACCCTCCTTCCCTCCCCAGGCACGGAGTGGCTCAGGCACAGCCCCTTGCCGCGTGCTGGAGCCATGGCCTAGTGGCCAGTGACGCCCGGGCACCTCTGCACTGAGGCAGCAGAGACAGTCCTGGGAGCTGCCTGCCCTCCGGAGCGGGCTCGGCGTGAGTGGGGCGCTGGCTCCTGTTGTCCAAGTCTGGGGCCAGGCGGCCGCTGGGGACCACAGTGTGACCAAGCCTGTCAGGATCAAATGGGTTTATTCTCAAGGCTTCTCTCTTTGTCTGGTTTTCTCTTTGCTTTGAAACAAGGATACAATGGGTAGGAGAATCAGGAATACACAGGTGGCCTACATCTGAGAAATCATAAATATGCAACTAGTAGTACAACCTCCAGAAGGGCACAAAGGCGACAAGTGTGTCCAGTGGAGTCTCAGTGGCGGCCTGCCCCTGAGGCTTGGGGCTCCACCCAGAACTCCCTTCAACAGTGGATTTAAAGTGCGATAAAACTGTTCTAACATACATCGATACTAAAACTACATCAGCAATGATTAATAATAGCCACAGATTAGTGGGAAAAGGACTGAATTGTATCTAAGATGTCTGAGGTCCTTTGGGTTTTGTTTTGGTTTATCTAGCGATTTCGGTTAATAGAGAAGAGGTGGGACCTGCACAGAAGCCGCCGAGGGAAGCTCACCATGTCTGTAAGTCATCAGCCCACGGGGCGCTCTGAACAGACTTGGGTATTAATTACTCTTCTTTAATACCAGATGGCAGAGCTCACTGCACACATCAGAACCTGTAAGCCTAGGCCAGGAGGATTATCTGACGTTGGCGTTCTGGGTCACACCAGGGAGTGAAAAGAGAATTTGACAAAGAGACATGAACTAGCCTTGCCCCTACCAATAATCACATACGCGAGTTTGAGTAAACCTTCCTTTTCCTCTCTGAGCTTTAGTTTTCTTCCTGAAAATCCCCTCTAGCCTCAAATTCCATATTCTGAGGCAGGTTACTCTTTAATGACGTTTTAATTCTTAGCCAAAACAAACATTGAAGCTTAGCAGCACACTTCTAGTTAGGAACTTGGCTTTCTGCTATTCGTTTATTTAGTTTATTTGCACACTAACTGTGCAGTGCAGCTTGAATAGCAGCCTGGAATGCAATGCACACACAAAGTCAGAGGTGGCAGCGTTTTTGTGAACAGAGGCTAATTGGAGCTGCCCATAGTCTACCAGGCCCACTCTGGCTGCTTTTGTGTCAACTCTGTCTTTATATTTAATATATTCTGAGCTTCTTTGCTTTTCCAGCCTTCAGTAACTTATCTTGTGCACAGAAAGGGTATAAAATGTGAACTAATTAAATTAGAACTCAATTAATGAGAAGCTAACAGAGGAAACCACTGTAGTTTAGAGATTTTATAGCTGCTGCATCAATAACACACTTCTTCTCCCACATGGCCCACAGTCACCGGATGAATTATTATTTATTCTATTTGTAACCATTGCTGGCAGAGCAGAATATTGCAGAGTCCCCGCACTCCATGTTTCTCATTAAACTGCAGGTCTGAGTGTCCTTCTCATGCAATGTGAGCACTCACCCCAATTTTCTTCAAATCTGGACACATTGTATTATAGTCAAGAGTGGTTACAAAAAGGACTGGATGGGCAGGGCAACAAAAGGCAGTTCTGAAGGGTCATGAGATTAGGGGATGGGATGTAGAATTTCTTTGGAAATCCCAAAAAGGATACTCTGAGAGTTTTCTTTGCAACATTTACTTTCCAAGTCTATGTCAAATGAATGAACTAGTACAATAAATAGTAATTGCAATAGAGTAGCCAGTGCCCATCCATAGATTGGCATTCTAGGAACTGCAGACAAGAACACAGGCTCACACCCTGTAACTGGCCAGCACCACCAGCAGACAGGGGCACAGCCCAGAGGATGGGCCCAGAGCTCCCCCACAACCTGGTTCATCCCTGCTCTCACTTACTTACTCTCTAGATGCTCTGAGCTGCTTATTTTATCTGTGCCTCAGTTTGTTGATCTGTAAGAGGGGTGGACGATATGTCCCTTCCAGGGGTTGTGATGAGGGTTAGACCCACTGATATATGTAAGTGTGCACATGCTTGGCACATGCCCGTGCTATGTGAGCCAGGCTAACTGTTTTTTAAGGTCACACAATTGGCAGCAGAATGAGATAGTGATGGTGGCCCACAAAAATGAAGGTGAAATTAATATTTTTCCATTTATTGAGTTGGTATGCATTGATATTCACATTTAAAATCATCTCTGTCATTTTCTTGGAAGCATGTCACTGTGAGGTTACTGCAGTGAGTGTAGTTTCAGTCCGTTAGGTTGGAAATGATTCGTGAGAGGCATAGGGAATCTCTGCAGACCCTACAAATAAGCATGACCCAGGGACACTCAGGAGTGAGGACCAAAGGCAGGTTGGCGTCATGATGTCCAGGAGGACAGGGGCTTGGGCAGCAAGAAACACTCACAGGCTGTGGCCCAAACCCCGGGCTTGTCTGAATGCTCCAGACACAAGGAGACCTTGGCATTAAGACCAATCCCCTGCTTTTCCTTTCTGAGCATGAAGAATCCAGCTGGGGACCACGGGCATGAAGGTGCTTTAATCTGGCTTGTATCAGTCTCTGCGGCTAAAGAATCTAGACGGGGGTCATTAAGGATATGGTCCTGCGCAGGGTGACATGACTTATGCCACAGTTGGACGCCAACACAGAACACGCCCACGTTTATCAGAGAGCTCTCAGCCAGTGCGGAGCTGCGGTGGTCAGCCTTTCACTAGCAGGTGTCGGGACAAAGCCGTTCATTCTCTCCTTTAACCGCCTCGGCCTCTTCCTTCTCCACAAGGCCCTCTGTTGGGTGTGGAGACTCCTCTGTTCTAGCAGGAGGCAGTGGACACGGGGTACCCGAGGAGGTTCAAGGAGGAGGATGGCCATGCCGGGAGCTGATCACTGCCCCACGAGAGACAGCCCCCTGCTTGCACACCGCCATGGCCCGTCTGGCGGTGGGTGTGCAGGCTCCCTCCCTCCCCTCCCCACCTTCCCTGCCATTCGCCCTGTTCTTTCCTGGCCTTTCTCTTCTTCCTGTTCTCTTATCTTTATTGTGCCCTCTTTCCTTGTGCCTCTTACACCTTTGGTAGACAACCACTTTTCCCCTCTCCGATTTTGAAAGAAATCATGTTAAAGACACGTCTTCTTGAACGTGAAGAACACACGGATTGCTCACGTCCTCTCCCCTTCCCTGCCTCCTCCCCGTCCCTTCTCCCTCGGCCCCCCTCTGTACCTGGCCTTCCCACCGCTCACTGCCCCCCACCTCATCGCTGTGGTGCCGTCAGGCATCTCGTCGGGGCCAGAGCCCACCAGAGGTTAAGACTTGGGCAGCAGGAGCGAGAGACCCCCGAGAGAGTAAGGGGAGCGGGAGCGGGTCGGTCCCAGCTGAACGCCCGCCCTGGGAGCCCGGGAACAGCTGCGACCAGCCCACTGCTGCTCTCCTCGGGCCTTTGTGTCTCGAGGGTACCCCTCTCGGGGAAAGGGGCGACCGAATCCGAGTCCTCTGACTGCAACGGCGTCCTAATGCTTTCGTGCATCGCCGCTATTCCCTGACAGTGCTGACCCTGACAAGGGGCATCGCGGATGCCTAGCAAGGGAGCTCTCGCGGTGCTGAGCACAAGGTGCACGAGGGGTGAGGCGCCCGGGCAGCGTCTGCTTTGGTCCTCAGTGCGCTGCCCGGTTAGGAGAAGGGGTGCGTGCCTCTGAGCGGTGAGAGGCAGCCGGCCCAGGAGTGAGCAGACCTCAGTTACCACAGGCGGCTGGGACCTGAGCTCTGTCTCCCCTGCGCTACAGCCCTTATTAACCTAGAGCCTGGGAAAGCCCCTCATTGCTCTGTTCCCGATTTCCTCCTGTGCAATACCGGAGATTCATTGACAATGTGTAACTTTCTCTCTAACATTCTGTGATAGTATCAAAGGCTTTCCTCAACTGCAAAAGTAGGAATGGATGGACCAGAGGGTGAGCACATTGCAGAGGATACCTGGGAGCTGTGGGGCGTCAGTGAGTAAAGGATGGAATTACGACATTTGCAATGGTTCATATAAGAAGTTACTGGCGAAACTCACTGGCATGGGAGCGGTTGCATCAGGATGTGAGACATGAGCAAGGAGAAGAGGTGGCACATGGACTATCTAATTGTCTGGAAGTTGGCAAAATCTATGGGCAAAGAGACTAGAGAAAATATTTTATAACCAGAAAATCCCCAGTGTTCACTGATTATCTTTTATAAACTTGAGAGGCACAGACATGGTCTAGTAAACTCCAAAAAGGAGGAAGACGACTGAGAAGGTCTAGGTCCTGAAAGCAAGGGCCCCATGCTGGGGTTGGAAGGAGGGTGAGAGCTGGCAAGCTGCAGGTGCCAGGAGGGCTGGCCCTGGACAGAGACCCATGGTGACACTGGAGCGGGGTCCTCATTCATCCTCAAGGGCGTCAGCTGGTTCTTTCAAGGTTTTCTTTGTCCTTGCTGTCTCCAGCTTTTTGTCCATCTTTCCTTCCCTACTGCGAGCAGTAGCCCTGCTGATTGCAGGTGCAGCATCAGATGTGGAATAAATAGACATACAGAAGCTGCTGACCAGCTGCCCCAAGGGCATAAGACCAAGTTCCTGTAAGCAATCCCTTATTTCACATCGCTCCTCGTGGTTCTGATTCTCAGGCTGCGCTCTGACTGGTATCCTTTGTAGCCATGCACTTCGACAGAGAATCAGAGGGCCATGAGGAATAAGAGTGGCTCAGGTGAAGATCAAACCTAATGCTAACGTGCAGTCAGTCCCCAATAACAGCAGCTATCCCTCTGCTATTAGAAATCTGGACTGAGTCGTTACAGGCATTTCCACAGGGGTAGAAATACTTGGAATCGGGATGCAAGATCAGAGACTCTGTGCTACAGTTTCCGTGGTGAGGAGTTTAATTATGAACGATGGGAAAGATAATGCATGTGGATTGCTTACAGATAGCTGATAGCCTAACGTGCTAAATAGAGCTGCAGCACCCTAACCAAAAGCCTAGTCTGCTCCACGGAAACAGACTGAAGCCCCCACTGCTGGGCAACGTCGGTGAAGACGGCTGGAGCAAACGATCCCTTTCTTGCTGTGGAATGATGAATCACACCTGTCAATGAATAAAACACCCCATCTCAGCAATCAAGCAATGGATTTTTAAGGAGCCTTCCCATTTATCAGCTCAGCTATTGATTATCTGCAAAAGGTCATGGCATCGGAGGGATAATGAACAAGAGAACTGAGCTCCAACAGGCAAGGCGAAGTGGGTCTGTAGGTTTGCCTCCAGGAACCTGGTAGTGTCTGCACTTATTACGCATATAACCACATGCCATTGGACTTCTGATTAAAAATAACAGGAGTATAAAGCAAGAATCAGAAAAACTACAGGAACCATGGCCAGTTGCCTACAAAGAGTTCCTCAGGACCCTGGGACATGGATGAAAACAAGATACTGTTTTGATGTTAATAATTTGCAAGCTCAGCACTTGTGAGTTCAAATTGGAGGTGTTTCCCATATCCTAGGCCAGTCTGGTATGGTTTTGTTCAAATTCTCTTCCTCTTCTTACTTTTTTGAAATATGATTTTATTTGGTTGAGCTGCTCAACAAGTGGTGTGCTGGTAAATGTTTCACACCTGGCTGTTGGAGGGGAAAAAAGCCCTTGTTTGTAGTGTTTGCCATTATCTGTGGTTTAAGTGCATTTGCCATGGACAATGCCAAGCTGTCAGTGGGACTCCACTGGACACAGAGTTGGGAGAAATGCTAGCAGTCGACTCAGCAGGAGCCAGGTCCAGCCCGCCACGGTGTTCAGCCTTTACCTGCCGGTGCACTACCTTGTTTTCTGTATTTTCTACCTGTGTCCTGGGAGCTGCTCGCACCTCTAAATTAGAAGGTGGGGGACTTGGATTTTCACCTCTCATTACTTCACATTTATACTACACTTCTGCCAAGAAACATCAGATGTGGAATAAACAGACAGACATAAGCTGCTAACCAGCTTCCACAATGGCATAGATCAAGTCCCTGTAAGATGTTCTTACTTGTGGCAGAGATTTAGAAAACAAGGTAAAGTGGGTGTTCCTATGGCCAGGATCCTCACCTGACCCCTATCCTACTTGCCTGCTGTGCATATGCAGTGATGTAATTGGCCCACTGCAAGGTACAGGCTTCACACGTGTTGGCAATGAGCCATTACTGTCTGTTTTCCTGTATAAAGAGCTCCGCCCAGTGCTCTGCCCAGGAGTCAAAGGCTGAGGCAGGGGCAGGTGGCAGACTCCCCAGATGCGGGTATGATTCTAGCGCTCAACCTGCTGCCAAGAGAATAAAGCTCGGTGTGAACCCTTTTACCCCCAAGATCGTGTTGTGATTTGGTCTCACCAAATTCAGAGTGAACTTACCTGGAGCTGAAATCCCCCTCTGGTGAGACAACAATGTGCAAGTTAACTGAGTTGCCTGGGCCAGTAACGTTTGAACTATAAAAACAGTGATGTACAAAACTTACCTAGTCCTTCTGGTAGCAGATGAAATGATGATAGATTTTCCTAGGTCAAAAGAAATGTAGATTATTGGGTAACTATTTTTCTGTCTTAAGCATGGAGAAGAAAGCATGTTTCTGGTCCATTATGTCTAACAATGGCCAGGCAGCCTTTTTGTACTCACATCATGATGGCTTCTCCTGGATTAACCTAAACCCAGCTTTCTCTCACATCTGGTCTTTCCTGGAAATAGTAATCCAGGATTTAGATTTCTTTTTTTTTTTTCAATTTTCATGGTTGATTATAAGTGTTGTGCGCTAGTGCTCTAAATTATACCTGTCCTGGAGCTGTTGTTTCTGAGATGGAAATGAGGTACTAAGATGCAGTAACTAGAGGGATAGTGCCACGGGGCAGTCAAATGTGCAGGCGTACAGAGTGGAGCATGCATTCTAGACCCACGGCTTCCCGTCCCTGGACAGTTCATTTCCTCAGCTTTCTCACCTATAACATGGAGAGGAGTTTAGTAGGGGCACATTGCAGATAATGTCTGCAGGCTACCCTGACAGACCAATTCCAGTTATTTCCCACTATAATCCATATGCTACTGTGCTCTAGCATCTAAGAACACAAAATGAGTATTTTTCCGACTGTCCTGGGTGAAAAGGATAACCCTAAAACAGTTTTGGCCATAACATAGAGGTGGAAGTTTCCCGGTGCCTTCTGAAAAGGGTTTTACTTTGTCTAATAAAAGAGACAGGTGTAGCTGGTAACAGGATTTTCTTCCTGCATTGAATCAAATGTGATGCCCTGGGAATCAAAAGCCCCTGTGGAACCATGGGGGAAACAAGCCCATGAAAAAAGCTGGAAGGGTCATGGGGGACATGGGAACATGGCCAGGGGTAGTCCATCTTCAGATCTCCCGGAATATAGGATGAACACATCCCTAATTTATTTAATCCACTCTGTGTCAAGGTTTTTGCTTATCTGATGCTGACAGCATTCCTAATAACGGGCTTTTTAACAGAAGTGTTGTGGAGATTATGTAATATCATGGAGAAACAAAGCTTGTTGAGTGCTTAGCCTTACAAAATGCCTGGCAAGTAGCAAGCACTACCAAATGTACATTTTTATTATTTATCACTATCATCATTTATTACTATGCAGGATCAATGCCTTTCCTGTATTCCTGAAGGCTTCTAACAATGGTCAAATGCATCAAGGCTGTGAGATAAAGATTACCATTTGATACCACAATCTAGCCTCGGAGGAAGTTTGTGGGCTTAATACGGATGCAATTATACACATGTATAACAATCTGAGGGCATTTAAAGGCAATGACTATAGCAGCATTTCGTTCAGAGAGGCACTATAGGATTTCTGAAGAGGTGAGACCTGTGTGGATTGGAGTGGCCCACGGAGGCTCCCTGGGAGACTGGCCTTAGATGTTCTCTGAAGGGTAATGATGAAGTGAGCTGTAGGCAAGGAACCCACGCTCTAACTGGGAATTCCTACGGAAATGTCCTTGGAGCGCTAATAGGGTGTACTAATAACACTGTTAGTTCCTGCTGAACCCGGGCACCCCACAGGTGTACCCATCTCCAGATCCCATGTGTGTGGGCTGCTAATGGCTCGCAGCTGCCCCTTTCTCTGGAGCATCGCTCTCGGCTCATGGTAGCTGACTGCTTGAGAGGTTAGTGCCCCTCCCTACGGGCAGCTCACTGCCAGTGATGGGCAGTGTCTGGCTCCTCGCCTAAGTGCAATTCCCACTCCAGAGCTCCCGGTGGATCAGGCTCAAGTTAGCTTCCACCTGAGACCACATCTCTTCTCATCCCTGTGTCCGCTCTACCCTCCTGCCCACACCCGCCTTTTCCTGACATGACTCTCTCACTAAATCAAGTGCATGTGAGTCTGTCTGAGGTTCTGCTTCTAGGCGCACTGGCCTAGGTCGTGGTAGGTTTTCAAGAAATGCTGAGAAAATAAATGATTGAGGCAATAGCAGCCTCACTCGCTCATTTACTTACTCATTTGCTTTTCCTTCTTTCAATAAACCCATGTGGGGCATCTGTTGCAGGCGCACTGCACAGTCCTTTATAACGTGGGACAGAGGCAGGACTCCTGCCTTCACCAGATGCCGTTGGATACAGGTGACTGCAGGTTCTGGAGAAATAGGACGGGACAAGGGTCAGGATCAGAAGCACACAGACTTGGGAGGAATGCACGAATGTCGCCTTGAGTAAGTCACTTCTCTGAGCCTCTTTATATTCCACTGAAAGATAGGACTGAGCCTGTTTACTGGCTGTGCATGGAATTATATGAGATAAGTATGTAATTTCCCCAGCTCATCTTGGAATCCCATGTGTGCCAAATATCAGTGTTAATCGTAAGTGCTCAGATTGTACGTCTACACTGTGGGATACAAGTGGGAGAATGGGGGAGGGACAATACTTGGACAAGGGTTGCTTCCACTGTTCCTGGTTCTTCTCCCTAAAATTTCTTGAAGCCAACCCCTCTATGGTGTTATGGAAATCCAAGCTGACTCCCTCTCTTCCTATTCAGTGGTTACCTGCATGCTAAATTCTCCAAACAGGGTAGCTTTTATATTAGGAGAAGGAAAAAGAGGGGATGGGGAGGAGGAAGGATGAGGGGAAAGAAGAAAAAAAAATATTGTTCTCTAACCCTGAGTATATGTCTGCCAATTCATCAAAAATTTCCTGGCAGCAATGACCTTTCAGAACAGCCTCCGGAATTATTCCTCTCCCATGGGAAATAGGGATTCAGCAATCTCAGTAACAGCTGCAGTACCTAACAAAATGAGAAATTATCCTAACTTATTTGCTGGAAAAGTACCAATCTGGAGCCCCTCCACGTTATGGGAGATATTTTTCATCTGCCTCTTGGGTTCCAGATATCCTAGAACCCTAACAGGCAGACTACATGGTGTGGATCTCTAAGCACAGAAATTGGAGATTTAATCATTCTTGAACCTGAGATTTATCTAGTAGGAGAATTGGTAATAGCCTTACAAAATGCTATTCGTTTTTTTCTCATAACTGCCAAAACAATAGCTCTTCGTGCAAATGAAAAGGCCACGTTCCTAGAATCACCCGAGAGGGTGCTTTATTTTTGCAAGGTTTTGTGTCCCTTGCCGCAGTTGCCAAGCACGTTTGTGATCTGTCACAGAAACTGACAAAACATGAACATCCGTTTGGAGAGTCCCAGAACGCTAATCTGTAAACCTGACAGACTTGTCACAGTGCTGAGAAATGGTGTTAAAATTGCTTTCAACATCTTAATTAGTGGTAGCCTTTCAGGGAAATGCAGTATCTCCAAGTTCAGGGTTTTTTCCTCTGTTTCTTGATTTGTTTTTCAACAAGATTATTAAAATTTAAATCATGATGATCGTCAGAAAATGGTGTGCAATTTAGAAATGCTGATGCAGAAGTGATTGTGGGCGAGCTGTCAACTGATCCAAAACTCTAAACGGTGGGGAGGAGGGCCGGTTCCTGCGCTCACAGCTGACCTTTGGGACCTGGGACGGGAGGCCCTTTGGAGGAGCTGTGGAAGCCACTGGTGGGGTGGGGCAGGAAGCCCCTTTGGTCCAGGGGTAAAAAACTTCGTTCTGAGAGGCCCACAGATGGTAAGACTACGAGGGTCACTATTTCCTGTGCCCCAGGCTCTCTGCTGCTGTACATCACATCTCTTGAGTAATCATTCCCACAACCCCACGGGATAGGTACCATTAGGTCCAGATGTTCCCTATGCAGGAGCAGCGGCCGAGGCAGGTGGCGTGTCCTGCCGCGCACCTGCAGCCCGCCCACTCCCGGCGGCTGGGACCTGCTCTTCCCCTGGCTTTGCACCTGCTATTTCCCTTCAGAAGAACGCTCAGCTCTTGCCTGGTTTCTCATAGCTGGTTTGCAGAGACCTTAGTGGGGCCTCTGTAACTCTCCTGTGTGTTCTGTGTTGAACCTAGAAACGTGCATTTATGTTCTGTTGTTTGTTCTGTCTGTCTAACCACGCAGAATGTTCTACGGAGCTCGTTAAGGAAGAACATTAATTTCGGCACAGTGGCAAACCCTCTCCCTGAGGCTGGAACGTGCACCGTAACGTAGGCTGACCACCGAGGCCTGCCTGCTGGCAGCTGCTCCTTCCCTGCAGAGTCCGCCCAGCATGCGGAGAAACACGTGGGGGCAGCAAATCAGGGACAGCAGTTAGAAAAGAAGAGGCTCCCGTGGCGCCTCGAGGGGGCCAGGATTAACTCTTTGCTGTTCTGACATATTCCACCCCAAGAGCCACTGAGGCTTCTGTCTATCAATCATGAACCTCCCTCTCAGCGGTCCCAGCTCCCTCTGAGTAGCGGGGGCCTCCGACCTGCCCCCTGGGTCCGTCTGCCAGTTTGAGGCAGAAACCACATGGGCACAAGTACAAGTTCCCGTGTGGGTTCTTTCTCTCTCTCCATTTGTTCCCTCCTCCCCTGGGAGGCAAGCCCCGGCTTCTCTGCATGGGGGCAGCACCATTTTTAGGAGGCACGCATCACTTTTCCCACATTCTACTGTCCCAGCAGGACCATCCCAGATTCCAGGACTTCCAGGGTCTTGCCTGTAAATATGCTGTGCTTGTGGAAATAAGCATTATCTTTTCAAGAAGGAAAGGCAAATTCTCCTCTCAAAGAGCCACGCCTCCAGAGACATAAGATGTTAATGAGGCCACGTATGCAAACAATCTCACCACGATCATTGCGTATGAATTTACATTCCACAGATGATTAATGAATTTTAGCACTTTCGGCCCTTCAGTAAAGTGCTTGTCCAAGTCTTTAGCCCATTGAAATTGTGCATTATATGTTTGGACACACGTCCTCTGTTAGATAGTTCTGTGGTCTATATGCTCTGCCCTACGCATTGGCCTTTTATCTCCTAATAGCATCCTCTCATAAATGTAAATTATTAATTTGAAAGTACTCATATTTACAACTTTCTTTAAAAATAGCATGTCTCCTTCCCATTTAATAAATATTTGCCCACCAGAAAGTCATGAAAATATATTTTATGTGTCTGGTTCTGGAACCTCTATCTTTTCCAATTTATCTATTTGTCAATTCTTGCTCTACTATGACGGCCTTTAATTATTGTATTTTTATAAGTCAGGATATCTGATATTACAAGTTTTCCAGAATAGCCCTTATGCCCTTCAAGATCATAGTTATTCTTGCCTCTTTGCATTTTCCTGAACATTTCAGAATTGATGTGTCAATTTCTTGAAAACAGCCAGCTGGGATTTTGATTGAAATTGTATTAAACCAAACAATCTGGGCAGAAATGACATCTTTGCAATTTAAGTCCTCCAGTCCACAACATGATATATTCCTCCATTTATATTGTTCTTCAATTTATAGTAATAATGTTATGTATTCCTTAGTGTCAAGGTGTCGAAACAACTTTCATGACATTTATTTCTAACTACTTCATTTTCTAATTGAAATTTTTACTGACATCATTGTAGATGTACATGCAGTTGCAAGAAATGATACAGAGAGATCCTGTTACAATTTACAAAGTTCCCCTCAAAGGTAACATTTTATGAAGTTACAGTATACCATTAGAACCAAGATATAATCTGCTGATTTCATTAACAGGAATATTTTGTGTAGGTGTGTGCATGATCTCTATGTCATCAAAATTATAGGCTTGTGTATTCACCACCAGAGATCCATTATCACAAGGATCCCCTGTGTTACCTATTTGTTACCAAACCCTCCTTCATACCCACCTACCTCCCTGCCCCTAAACCTTGGCAGTAAGTAATCTGTTCTTCATTTCTAAAATAATGTCATTTTGTAGTTTTTTATTATAAATGCATTCACACAGTATATACCATTTGCATATTAGCTTTTCATAACCAAAGTCCATGGAAATTCATCCAATTGTTACATCTATCAATAGTCCTTTTTGTTGCTGAGCAGTATTTAATAGTATGCACATAAGTCTGTTTAACCATTCACCTAAGGACCTCCTGACAGTTCACAGTCACTGACTTTACAAATAAAACTGCTATGAACATTCATGTACAATTTATTTGTGTAAATGTAGGTTTTCATTTCATTTTATTATATTCCCAAGAGTGCATCTGCTGGGATGTATGGTAATTACATGTTTAATTTTATAAGAAACTGAGCACCTACTTTCTAAAATGACAGGATCATGTTATTGTCCCACCAGAATGTAGGAGGGATCCAGTTACTCCACTTCTTAGCAATATTCAGTGTTGCCACAATTAAAAGAAAAATTATAGCCCTTCTGTGTTGGGTTTTAATTTGCATTTCCTTGGTGGCTGACTATGCTGCCCACCATTTCATGGGCTTATTTGCCATCTGTATACATCCTCTTTGGCGAAATTGCTGTTCATGTCTTTTGCCTATTTTCTATTTTTGTCCCTTCACCTGTTAAGTTTTTAGAGTTCATCATATACTGTAGATATGAGTTCTCTGCTGGATGATCGGTTTGCAAATATCTTGACCCAGGCTGTGGTTTCTATTTCATCTGTTCACGTGTACTTTTGCAGAGTGAAAGTTTCTGGTGTGGTTTTGTATCGATGTTGTCCAATTCATCAAAGTTTCCTTCTTTAATCATATCTGAAGTTGTGCTATTTTATAATGGACCATTTAACCAATTTATATTTAATGTAAATATTGCTGTGTTTGGTCTTCCACCATCTCGCTGTTTTCTTTATTACCCATCTCTCCTATGTTCTCTTTGTTTACCTTCTTCTATGTATTTTCATCATTCTCTCTTTTTCTTCTAATAATTTACTACTTACGCATCTTCCATTTTTCCTTCAAAACTAATCTAGCTGTTCTCATATACATTTGACTTACTGTGCTTTAACAAAAATTAGACTTTTGACCTTTTCTCCAGGTTCTGAAACTTCATAACATTTTACTTGCATTTACAAGCCCCTATTTTTCTGCTATTGGTCCCATGGATTTTAATTCAATGTGTATTATCAACTCTATGGCACATTACTATTTTTTGTACAGCCAAAATACCATCAGTATCAATATACATATTTCCTTTTATATATACCTCTTCTATTCCTCTTTATTTTTTCTTGCAATTCTGTGTTTCCTCTGGGGTTATTTTCCTTGTGCTTAAAGAATCTTCATTCAGGTATATTTATTTTTTGGTACAGTTCTGTTGGTAATAAATTCTCTCAGTTTTTTGTATCATTTAATTAATAGAAAAGTTTTTCTCATAATGAAGCCAATTCATTTTTAGTTATCATTTTATTTTTAGCACATATGCAATATTGGAATTAAAAATTAGATTGACCTAAATGAAAAAAAAATGCTTTACTAAGTAATATGTATATGCTCCTTATTCAGATACATGTGTTAAAACATTGTCTTTGAGTACAGACTTCTTAAAACAAGAATTGACTTTTAAAATAAATATTGATTCCTCCTCTGCCGACTTTTGTCTTCTGGTATTGATGTGGTTATCAATAACACTATGGCCCTAATGATTTTTATGTCAGCATTTTGTGTATATTTATTAACATTCTTGAGAAACTAACTTCACTACTTACTTTGTCATTAAATATTTATTTGAATGTTTTGAGCTCATTGCTTCTGAAAGAATTTTTGCTCCTGAAACTTCTGAAAGTACTACCAAAAATAGAGTTAATAAGCAGACATACAGCAAAAATTAGTAAAAGCATTCATACCACTATGTATAGGATTTACTGTAAGGATTGGCTCACGTGATCATGGCGGCTGGCAGGTCCCAAATCTGAGGGTGAGCCGGCAGGCGGAGACCCAGGTGGCGGCCTCCCACTTGTGTTACAGTTGTACTCTGAAGGCCCTCTGATCTAGAACCAGAAAAAAACAATGTTTTGGGTAAAATCTGAAGGCAGTCTGCCACAGAATTCTCTCTAGCTCAGGGGAAGTCTCTTTTTATCCTATTCAGGTCTTCACCTGATTAGGTGAAGCTCACACACAGTGAGGGGGGCAATCTGCTCTACTCAAAGTCTACCGATTTAAATGTTAATCTCACCTAAAACACCCTCACATGAACACCCAGAAGAATGTCTGACCAAATCTCATGCATGCAACAGCCCAGCCAGGTTGGCACACAAAATCAACCTCACAACTTTCAACCCGACAAATGTTCGTAAAGAGACAAAATAAAGGGAATGTGAGAAGCCACAAAAGCAGAGTAAATTTTAAAATATGTTTACAAAATAACTGCAATAGAAACTCCAAAGCTGTCAGTAATCAAAGCCATCAGGATTCTGTTCCCCTACTACACACACACACACACACACACACACACGCACGCACACATGCAGACACATGTATATATTCATATATACACATATACAGTGCAGGGGGATAGATTGAAGAAGTTGACTTATCTTTATTTCCTAGCTTTTGATGCTACAATTATGGTATATAATAAAAAAAGGCTATTTTAATCACAATACAAAAGAAAATTCCCAAAGGCTATTTGAAAGTTTTTAATAAGGAATATTTGATCAATTATGTCGGTGAAATGGTTAAATTCTCACCTCTCACTGGTGAACTCAGAGCAGTTGAAGGAGGCAACATAAATTTTTAGCACATGAAAAAAAGTATGCTAAACGAAACTTTTAAAACTAGACAAGACAGAAGAAAATTGCTATTAATCCTAGGATGGGAAAAGACATTACATGCATAAAAATACTAAGCAATTACTAAATATTTGGGGTGCTCAATCTCCTTAGTCATTCTTTCCAGGAAATCTGGGTTGGGGTCCTTGGACCTTTCCAGGGAGATGGTCATCTGAGGTTTACAGGGCACAGGGAGGAGGGAGACGTGCCCTAGACACTGGCCTCCATAGCTGTGCAAGTAGTGATGGTGGAATACTGGCTAGTTCCAGGTTGCTCACACTTTTCTTCCCAAGAGCCTGGGGCCCACTTAGGTGAACATGATCTTTAATTGTAGCATTTAAAGAAATCTCAAAAAGTCAATATGGAAAGAATATAGATGGGGCCCTCCCTAGGTGAAAGCCTGCAATAAATCCAAAATGTAATAATTTTAGATTTCTAAGATTGATAGGTACAGGAAAGACTGATGGGAAGAACAAGATTCATGATGTGCTACATCAGTGTAAGATCTGCAAAATGCTTCCTCTTTCAGTGGACTTCAGTTTCTTTGTGGGAATTAATAATGCTGATGATCTTAAGTTCAGTTATAGCCAGTACATATTCCTGCATGCCTGCTATGTGCTGGCTGCAGTACCAGGTGCTAAGGATACAGATAAAGGGACAGTTTCCACCATGTTCACCTCCTTAGCCAGAGAAATACATATCACATATCATCAAATACATTTTACAGGACAAGTGATTTTGCAAAGAAAGAAACACGTTTTGCCAAATCAATAACAAATTACATTTGGTGACTATAGATTTCTAATTCCAGAGTTTTTTGTTTTGTTTTACTTTGTTATGTTTTTTCTCACCTTGTTTTGTTTTTTTACTAAATTGTGGACTTCACATGAAGAAGTCCAGAGTTGGCTGTGCAGGGCTGTGACATAGGCTCCAGGAAGTCCCCAAAGACTCAAGGTCCTTCATTCCTTCTACTTCATCACCTTAGTACATGGCTTCTTTCCTCAAGGTCACAATATGGCTTCTGGAGCTCTGACCTTATATGTGAACTCCAGAAAAAAAAGGGGATGTTTCAAGGAACAAAATGAACACCTTTCCCAATTTCCTAGAAGCCCCATCCAGTTATATACACTCACATCTCATTGGTTAATCTTACTGCAATGGAAAGTGGAAAATTTAGTCTTAGCTGAGCACATGGGCACTGGATAAAGGAGGGATCTGTTACTAAGTGCATCAGTCAGGATTCAATCACAGAAGAGTCACTGACTTATATAGAATAATGTATTTATTAACAGTATTAGACCATTTGCAATTATAGAAGGTGGTAAAGAAGTATGTAGGCTTTGATTTTCTCTCTGTTGGTTCTGAGCCAAAGTCAGCCTAGCCATCAGACAGGAAGGCCAGCTGGGTGTGACACGGGGGACTGCAAGGACAAACTGGAACCAGAGAGCACGGCTGGAAATCATGAGGACTGTAACCTACAAAGATAAAGTGGAACCTACATCTGTCTCACTGCCTCCCTTAATGACACGAGTGACCTCATGTCATGACATGAGGAAAGTGTTGGTGCCCTTTGCCAAGAAGTAATTCATGCTCTCTGCCCAAAACTCAGAGCAGCTGAAGGAGGCAGTGCGATAGACCTGCAGGAACCAAGAGGCACCAAATTGGACCAATGCAGCAGAGATGACACATCTGAGAGCAGTGGCCCCTGGTGCCCCACAGGGGCTTCAGAGCAGGAACAATGTCTGCTGTTTCGCCTCTGCTTTGCAGATCTTACACAAATTATTTTCCGTTTTGGTGAACTCTTACCCAAAACCATACAGAAAAGAATTGGGGAAAGGTAGTTCCGATTTAGCTAAGCTGACATAGTTCAAAGCCATCCCATCAAGGTAGAGGAGATAATGGGTATTTTTGTGCAGGCAAGAGGCCACGTCTGCCACAGAAAGATCATAGAAGCACAGGATATCCAGGGAAGGACAGTAATGAGCCAGCACTGGCTTGTGAAGGATGACATGTTTTCTGAATGCACAGGAAGCTTCTTGGATTGAAATGGTAGCAGGTGCCAAAGAGGAAGGAAATGCAATCTGAGTTCTATAGTTCTTCCATATTACTAAATGGAAATAAAATAGGAGTATGGTTGGGGGAGTAAGAGGAGAGATCATCCATCATTTTCACATTCTTTTTGTTGACTTAACCTCATAATATAAGGGAAAGCATCATATAACTCCTAACACTCTGATGTTGACTGGACCTTGACCCCTTGCCAAGTTATGTTAGGATTGTATCCAGCTATAAGGAATAGAAAATCAAATGACAGTAGCTTAAATATTTAAGGTTGCATTTGTCACGTATTACAAAATATCTGGGAGAAGTTCATGGCAGGTGTGACATCTAAGCAGGGACTTTCTTTGGGCTTTTTCAACATTTGAGCTCTGCTCTCTAAGTGTCTCAGGTTGGGTAGCAGAAGCTAGACTCCGAAATGGGACATTCTGCAAGGGTTCGCTGGGAGGGCTCTCTAGGGCTACAGCAGGAAGGACATGAGGGACGCAGGTCTGGACACAGGGGGAAGCTGAACAGCTGAAAGCTTGCAGCTGGCAGCTCAGCCAATCCTACAGGAGCTCTGGAACCAGGACGCCTCTGAAGTCATCCCACAGCAGCGAGGCCCACACATCGCTGCACCAGGCCATCACGGCCATTGCCTAGCCCCGGGACGGGTCACTCGGGGCAGCTGGTCCCCTTAGGCCAAGGAAAATTTCCAGCAGGAAATGCAGTTGGGTCCTCGGCTACTATTCCCAGTACCTAGAGGACAGGTATATGGACCCTCAAGAGGATGTTAGCAAATCACCAGGAGCCGCTACAGTTGACAAGGTTTCATCCCCATGCTTGCCACATAATGTCCATACAGTGGCTTCTGTGTCTCCTAGACTCACATCCAAGAATGTCCTAAAGGTAATTGGCAGATAGACTGTTCCCCCAAAAGTCTGGGCCTTTTCATTCATGAATAAGATATTTCTATGGACACTTCATTTGCTGGAACTTTGACCTGACACCAACCCTACCACTGGGAAAGTTGAGAATTTAAAAATCGCAATGTTGCTAAAGACCATATGCAAAATCCAAGCTCCTTAATAAAAGGTGTGGGGGGGACATTTGGAAGGCAGCTAGTGGGTCTGACACACTGCATGTGATAACATTAAAAGCAATTAAGTTTACCTGGTCCCAAACCATCTTAAACCCATTGGCAAGAGTTCTAGGAGAAAAGACATCCTATGCTCCAGCATGAAGGACCAGTGGAACACAACTCTGCGGAATAATTTGCCTCCATTAATGTTAAAAATATACATGACCCTCAGGCCAGAATGCTTCATCTAGGAACAAATTTGAGAGAAGGTCTAGATACATATGGGTAAAGAGAGATGCATATGTGTATTCACTTCAACATGGTTTATAACAGCAAAATATATATTTAAAACCTAAATAGCCAAGGTAGGGAAATAAATGAATAAGATGCATTAAGTTCATATAATTCATGCACTCACTCCACAGACATTTCTTGAGGTGCCATTGAATGCTGGGCCGTGGGTGCCTTTTTCAGGGGCCTGCGGAGATGGCCACGAAGACCTGGTCTGTCCCTGGTGTTGTGCGGCGGGTCCTAGTGGTCCTTTCTGGGTCTACTTTTGCTCAACAAGACTCCCGTTTGCTCCTTTCTTAGTGCTGGGATTTGACAGAATGCATCGTGTCCCGGAAGCGATTGTCAATGGCATTAGCACAAGATACAGCGCAGAGAGGAAGCAAGCCCAGTGTGGTCCTGGAAGCCGTGGCTTCTCCAGCACAGCTGGCAGGCGCCTAGAGCTCACTGCATCACCTAGGTGGCACGGAGCTCATGTCCGACTCATCACCATTAATTATTATCAATCGCTTTAACTGGGCCAGATATTAGATCAGTGAGATTGACTGAAGGGTTTTTACCTTGGGGCATTGAATGGAGGAGAAATGGCAGCACAATTGTCTCAAATCTCAAAAGAAGTAATTTGATTCATCAGTTTTATTATTTATTATTTCTTAACTCAAAATCATTTATGTTGTAAATGGCTGTTCTTATGGATTCAGAATTATACAATCGATTCAATTATACCTGATAATAAATTATATAATAGCATATTCTAGTATTTGTAAATTAATGATTCAACAATAAATAACATGTATAAACTACAAGTGTTCTCTC